AAAGTGACCTTTTGAAGGACGCCCTCTAGTTCATGGTAGTGCTTTTTGAAATAGGATTATATTCCAATTAAACCCCGAGAGTCAGACCTCTTGCAGTTCTATAATCTTTGCTAAAATACAGTTTGTGTCTGACAACGACTGCGTACAGCACGTAAAACAAGATTTTCATTTTCACAAAGAGGCACAAACTTTGCTGTCATGTGTACAACCTATGCTGCTTTTATTTTTATCGTTTTCACAAACAGGCACAAACTTTTCATGCTTATTAACAGGTTCATTAAAGTTAAGGAAAGAAAAATAAATTGGAAAATTTGAACTGTTTAAATCCTTATCTTTAAACATATGTAAAAAAATAGTTAAAATTTCTATATCATGATAGTGGAATTTACAGATCTGTGAAGTAGTCAACTTCAAATGTATTTTTCTCAAAACATGATTTTGGTTGAAATTGAAGTTTGTGTCTCTTTGTGAAAACAATGACAATATGTTAGACTTAATGCCAACAAGACCTCTAAGCGCTTCATGTTATTACCTCGGTCATTAAATCAAGGAGAATTCCATAATATTGCAGCTGTAATCAGCTCATTTTGCATTTGAACCTACCAGGTAATCACTTGTACTCCTGGGTGGAGAGAGACAACTGTAAGTAAAGTGCCTTGCCAAAGGACAAAAGCGAAATGCACAGCGAAGGATTTTCAATAGATGCATGAATAGAGTTAATGTAAAATTTCTCTTTAATGCATTGTACATTTCAACTTGCTTCCTCTTGGCAGATCTTAATACATGTTCTCGTTTCCCATCATCCATCGTAATGTTCATAGCTACAGGGTTTTCAGTAGTTGATAACAATATCAATTATCCTTGCTTTTAATCATGTTAGTAATGTCAATTTGATTGTTATTGATTGTATTAATGAAGAATTTCAAGACTACATTGTAATTATATAAAACATGCAGAAAAATATTATTTAATATATTATAATTAGTGAATAAGTTATAGCAGTTAAATAAAATAAATTTAAAAAATTAAGTTTTTGTTATTTACACATTTTTTTTGGAAAATGTTTGTAATGAAAAATTGTGAATAAAAAAAAAATTGAATTAAAGTCCTACTGTAGGCTATACTTTAAACATTATTATAAAAGATTAATAATATGCCAATTCAATAAATTTATGAATGTTTCAATTTTTTCTTAACAAAGCTAAATTTGAGGACTGTTGAACAGTCCCTACAGGGTTTTGGCCCAATATGTGATGGATAAAAATTCCTCTATAAAGTTGGACATTTATTTGACAAAAGGACTAGCTTAAAAGGCCTTTCCTCCCATCTCTGACATTGTGGCAACTGTGCTGTCTTAGGGCCAATGGTGGCCCTGTTCTTTTGGACAAACTTCACTTTAGGGATATAGTATATATTTAATTTAATATATATAATATTCCAAAATATTTCAAATATTTTATGGGTACAAATTACTTTCTGAAAGGAATTGCACCAACTGGAAGTGTGGGATATTTTCTGGCAGAGTTAAGTTATTTTATGACAGGGGTTTGGTTTTCTATCAGGAACCCATTCTGTAGGAAATTTTATCGCTCTTGGAAAAATTTTTTATCAAGAAAAAATTTTCCAGCCAGAGGGTTGATTTTCACAAACCTGGAGGAAGTTTTTCACCATGAAGAAAGTTTCAACTCTTGGAAAATTTCTCCATATTGGTAAATTCCTCCTGCTGAAATTTTCAGAAAAAAAGAAAATAAACTGGAAGAAGTACAAAAGCAGTAAGATATGGAGAGAAGAAGGATGCAGAAACATTTGACTGTCATCGTCAGACAGGGTGGTCTGTGTAGAAACTAGAACATATGCTATACTCAATTCTTCAAATTGAACCAAATCTATGTGGTTATTATCGATGTGGCAATGACCGCATAATGTATACATGAGAGAAGGCAGTATTATCCATGTTGCATTTTGGTGGCTTTCCAGGCCTAGAATCTCTTAATTAGTTCATATTTTTTTCTATTCAGGTTAGTTGATATTTATGTATGCAGTACTGTATATTACTGTTTGCACTACATTATGTAAATAACTGCCTACTCTGCCACTTGTCAGCTTCTTTAAATAGAGACCTTTCATCTCGGATCTTATACATCCTCAAATGCTCTTGACTTAATTATAGTCAATGTAAAATCGCATACAGTACAGGAAGGAGATAAGAAGGCTCTGAGATACGGATTTGATGAGGTTGGAAAATTTCAGTTGGGTATGGACTATATTACTTTAATAAAGATTAATATTTATTATTATTATTATTGAAAGAAGTGAAGAATGACTGATGGATGCACTCAGCTAGTTTCTCTTGTCAAGCTGCTATTCTGTCAAGTTGAGTAGTTCAGAGTCATACTGTACAGTGTCAGGCAGTGATGGTCCTATCAAGATACAGATTATTTCCGGGTATACTCTGAAAAGTATACCACCTTTTAAAGGTGGATCATGTACTAATGCAGAAGTATGTTTTGCAGTAAAAACATGCATGTGAGCTAACCTTGAAGTATGTTGCTTGTAAGTTCGGCATGAACATATCATATGCTTTTAAAGAATATTAAAACAATGACAGAAAAATTAGTTCCCCCAAAAATTATATGCCTCCAGATATAATGGAGGAGTTGAATAGCTTGGTGGTTAAGATGCTTGCCTTCCAATCCCAGGGTCCTGGGTTCAATTCCTGCCAGTTGCAGGATTTTTTCTTACGACATAAACAACTCCACTCCCTAAATCTCATATTGAGATTTAGTTTGTGTAAAGCATCGTGTGTGTATGTTTGTCTTGTGTAAGGGATTGTCACCTACAAGTAGGACAGTGATATATATTCGCTATTGGCAATCCTTGGCACATGTGTTGTGTGCCTAAAGAAAGAATAATAATAATAATAATAATGAACCTTACCGGAATGTGAATCAAACAGGGCTAGGAATAAACACCACAAACATAAGTGTTGACCCACGAACACACATACTTAATGTTTACGCTATGACACCTTAGCAACAACATCCAAGGGGCGGAGCTTAGCCTACTCTAATTATCAAGTGCAGAACTAAGTGCATTTATATGCACTGATTATGATGTAATAAAAATTTAAAAAATATTAATATTATTGTAAGTATTATTATCATGAGTACCAACCTGACTATGTTTCTGTGGATGTGTGTACCAGATTGAGGATTTTTGTCCGTCCTGGTGTGTGAGTAGTCATGTGTGCTTCAAATGTCTATAGTTGAACTATATAGTCACATGACCATTTTCCCAGCACTCAACCAATTACCTTCCAATTCTCAACTGTAATTCATCGTTTTCTCAACTCACTTGTTGTTTTATCTTAGAGGTGCTTAGTCGCATGTTATTGGTCATTGAAAAGTAATTTATACATTTAATTAAAGTTGCTCGTGACCAGCTTACAAATTAGTTTTGTACACATTCAATTAAAGTTGCTTAGTCACATACTTACTAATTAGTCATGCATATATTCATGTTCTTCGTCACAAAAAGTAATTTATACATTCAATTAAAGGTGCCCAGTCTCTGGCCAATATCCATGAGTTCGTATTTAATTAAAGGTGCGTGGTTACAGTCATGTAGCACTTGTGTTATTCATGCATACACTATGATTCAAAAAGTCAGTGAGTGTGTAGATATGTAAAATGTGACAGAATGTTTACTTTTTCAAGTGGCTTGATAATTAATGAGGATTCAGCTTTATGAAATAAACTTAGAGGTTAGGTTCACTAGAGCCCTAGTATCCGGATCAGCAGCTAACCGTTAACACTCATGTCAGAAGCCCTATCGGTTACCAGGATCTGGATACGCTAATGGTTAGCTAGAACTATCGGTTAGCAAGTTGAGCGCATTTCTATTATTAATCAATCACACATACGCATCTCCAATTTTTAGTTTCCTATTGGCCAGGTGATGATTCCATTGTCATCTTCTTGATATCTGGATCAGGGATTTTCTTGTATGAATTCAAGGGTGATTGCGTATGTTATTTATCTGGATCCTGCTAACCGTTAGCTGGTATAGGTGAACATAGCTAGAGTCACTAACTATCCTCAGAGGTCACCTGCAAAGGTCATGAAATGTTCTGAAACGGAAGATTCATAATATAATTCAATTAGTTTTGTAGCCAAGTCGGAGATTTTCTTGGAAACGTTTAACAACCAGCTTTCTATTGCACTTGTCGCTCTTTACACCCACGGTATAATGCTGATTATTGACAAAATTATCGTGCCATTTCTATATTATTAATAAAAAAATATTGGCTTGGCCGTCCATGCTATTTTAGAGACCGCTTTTCACCACTTTGCCGTGCTGAAATTATTTGGCCTCAACAAAAAGGTGTACATGAGGCACGTACGGCCAGCATAGCCTAATTAGAAAATGTGTGTAAATATGACATAAATATTCTAATAATGCACTTACTGTAAAGTAATGTATTCATGGTTGTTCAGTAACTTTAGTCATACACTACATGTATTTTATCATGAAATCGTGTACGCTTGAGTGGAAAGGGATGCATGTGGTGGTGGTATACATACAATTAAAGCACCTATCCATTAACACAATGTACTGTAGAATTAATACTTACTTAGCTCCTTGATTTACATTTACTGAATGGACATGATGTCAGTGTTATACAGTAAGGTTGGTACTCAAAGCCTGATTAGCATTATTTTAGTATTATTGTTAAATATTATTTATATAATTTATATTGACCATCGTTTGTTGGTAGTAGATGTATGTTGCCTTTTTTAAACACAAAATCCTGTAAATTGAAGGCTCTGTTCTATTCAGAATCATTGAATTTACAAGAGGTAAATTATGACAAGCAATTGAACATGAGACTGTGAACAGAGCACTTAAAAGCCTTCTGATTGGCTCTGAAGTATCGCATTTTAATGAGTTCATGCATGAACGAATCTTACAGTGAGTGTCTGTGTTTTCTGAAATTTCAGATTAGATGAGGACTGCTTTTCATCTGATAGTCAGAGAGTCAATATACGACATTAAGGTAACAGCATAAGAACGATTGATGACTTCATTTTCACCATCATCCACACCTGGGATGTAAACGCTTAGAGACAGACAAGTGTCTACTCACCGTGCAATAAAAATGTGCAATAAATTATCAATAGGACCATTACTAAAAACAACCAAAGAGTAACCGTCATGGTGCTAGGACGGCGGTATGTGCATCGACGGTGCCGGCCCACACGAATGATCGTGTTATGTACAGTTATGATACTGGGCTATGTGACCATGCTGTTCACAGGGCCTAGCAAAGAAGAACATCGAGATGAATTTTGGAAGAATGATGGTGAAATCATTTCTTTCATGCCTAACTTACAAACAAGACATTTACTCGCAAACGGTAGCCTGTATCCTGATGATGTTTTCTCCCGTGAGCAGAGGTTACATGGAGCGATTATATTACATATTAGTGGAATGATTTATATGTTTATTGCCCTTGCAATTGTTTGCGATGAATTTTTTATACCTGCTTTGGGGGTGATAACTGAGAAACTTGAACTCTCGGATGATGTTGCGGGAGCAACTTTTATGGCTGCGGGTGGTAGCGTCCCCGAACTTTGTACAAGTATTATCGGGGTGTTTGTATCGGCCAGTGACGTGGGTATTGGTACGATTGTGGGTTCGGCAGTGTTCAATATTCTTTTTGTTATCGGAATGTGTGCAGTGTTTAGCAAAGGCGTACTGGAGCTTACGTGGTGGCCCCTGTTTCGCGATGTTTTTTTCTACATTTTAAGCATCATAATTTTGCTATTATGTTTTAAAGATAGTTTAATTGACTGGTTTGAGTCTTTAGTGCTGTTAATGATGTACTTTTTCTATGTACTGTTCATGAAATTTAACCACACAATAGAAAGTTTTGTGAAAGGGCTATTGAATCGTAACCGTATCAAAAATGAACCCGGAGAGAAAAAGGTAAGTTATTTTCTTAACACTTTACAAACCTGGTAATAATCCTTTTTCCTTCCACCAATTAATATGGAACATTGTAGAACACTTGTTCTAACAATAGTTTCAATATTTATGTATCACAGGAAGTAGTTCACAATATGGATGATAATTTAAAGAGATTTGGGAATTTTGAAGTATAAGCATATTGTTATTTATAAAGCAATAATTTAATAATTAAATATTATAATTTTATTTGTTTAAAATTATAATAATACTGAAGCAATAAAATTAGTAAATAAATAATTTAAACATTTATTTACTGTAGCACTCATGCTAACGTAATCAAAAGATTAATAGGCCAACTTGTTTAATATTTATGTCGATATTATGCAGTATACTATACAAAGACATTAATGCGCAATTGACACAGATTCCATTTAGATGTGACGATAGGCCTACAGAATAATGTATAATATAGGATAACAGTATTTGGGCTAAGTGAGGAAATGTTTGCGCAAATCCAAGTATGTTTCTTGGAAATATTAGCTGACCTAATCACATTAAAGGAAGTAATGTTACGTATTGTATGCATAGAACATATATCATCATGGTTACAGTGTGCTAACAAGTAATAAGAATTGAATTCACATAAATGTTTAGCTTTACAGATTTCTCAGAAGAAACCAAGTCAACTTTAACATTTTAGGATAAGAACTGAGCAGTGCTGATTGGGGTTGTTTTAAAAGTGGTCAGAAGAGATGTTTAATCCATTGGCCCTGTGTGCAATACAGCCCATATACATATTAAGTATCGCAGTATTAGGAAAAAAGCACAGCATTTTCTCAGTTTTTCCAATAAAGACACATTGAAATAATTCATTTTTCTTATATTTAAAGACTTTTTACTAAGAATGTCTTTAAAGTGCCCATTATAGATACCATTATTTTTATGCACTTGTTAATTGTCAAGAAAAAAACTTTTTTCCTTCAAATTTTACTTGAAATCCTGCTTATTAAAAACTAAGCAATTCAAAATTATAATTAATATTTTTTGCCACATTGCAAAAGAAATAATGAATGTTATAATCTTGATTAGTTCCACATAGACAGTTCTTTAGGATTGCAGTTCACCTGTGCATAATGTCTCGAATCGCCATCTGTGGTGGTAGTAACAAAGCGATTATATTCTTAAAGTGTATTAGTTATTATGGACAGTACAGCCTATCTTGTGTGATTCATCATAAATAATGTGTTTTTGTTAATTATAGTTTAATGGCTAATCAATGATTACCTAGAATCTATATTTAGAATTAATGGCTGTATCATTAGCAATATCTCGTTATCAAGGCATCCTTCAATTTGCAGATGGTTAATGCACCTTTTTCTGAAAGAACAAGCATGTTGTATTATATTTTGAAGATCAGGCCAAAAAATCAGCAAAGTTAAATCTTGAAAATTCAGGATCAGAATTTTTAATTTTTTTTTTGCCAATGGAAAACCTAGCATTTAATGAAATTGATACTAATTAACCGTGGATTTTAACCCTGTGGGTGTCATTCTACAACCCAAATACATGAGGTGAGTAATGGTCATATGGTAATGAATGAATGAATTTGGTATAAATGACGTGACTGATTTTATTCATAATCTGGGAAATGGAAGTAAGTTTTCTCACTTGATTATACTGTATACATATGGTATCTCCATTAACTTGTATTCCCTGTCAATATATCAGAGTTATTGATAAGATATGATAGTGTCCTACATAGCAACGTGGTGTTCTGTATCTAACCCTGTGTACTTACTTGTTACATCCCATTCACTGTACCGCATAACGTCCAGCAGAACCATTGCCCATGCTCTTCGTGGGCAGATCAATATTATTGATCTTTGTTCAATCGCTGTGTAACACTTTACCAATGGATTCAACCTGGTATCCATGGTGCCGTGAATTAGTTCGCTGTAGATTATGACCTTGTACAGTACTGATATTGGGTCAATATATTGGATGCTTTAGTTGATTATTCTGCTTGATATTTCGTACCAGTCCATCAAATATCTGAGCTGTGATTATAACATTCACTTTATAGTAATTTAAATTTCATAATTCAACAGCAAGTTTCATTTCATTTTTTTCATTTCATTCCATTTATTTTGTATGGTATTAAGCACATTACAAAAAGTACAAAAAAACAAAATAGAGAAACAAAACAGTCGTGCTGGATATGATTGCTCAAAAGCATTCTAGTAATCCTAGTTCATTTGTCAAGGAGCTCTCCAAAACACGACTGACAAACCAATATATATATACAAAAAGATTTTTTTTTTGAAGTTCACAACTTAGCTGTTATATTTAATGTTTTTTTTTTCATATTTTTTATTTAATATTATATGCTTCATATTGATGTTAGATCTCTTGACTGTAGTAAGCTTTCATCAAAATCCAAACACTCAAATAATAAATGGCTCTCCTATGTTATATACTTTTTCATATTTTTTATTGATATTATATTTATTTATCTATTCTGCCTTTAACGTGATAACAACAAAATAAAACATAAATATAAATATACAGAAACTTAAATAAAATACTAAAGAACCAAGTTAAATGAATTTAATTTAAATTTAAAAGGCAAGTGAACAGAGGGTGGTAAGAGAGATTTTAATTTTCCGTTTTGATCAAAATTTTAAGTTGGAGGTCATTTAATTCTATTTTAATTTGGTTTGGAAGTTCGTTCTAAGCCCTTAGTTGCACGGTATACGAATGTTCTCTTGCCTTGCTTGAGTTTCCATTTTTGCTCCATCAAGGTGTTGTTAGATTTATTTCTAGTGCACTGTGAGTGGCTATTTTGATTAAATATTAATTTGTTACTTAATATTTAGGATATGTTAGATCTCTTGACCATAGTAAAGCCAACAGTACTTACAAAATCGAACACTTAAAATAATAAGTTAAATTATTTTGTTAAAACTATATTTCATTCTAATGTTAAATACAAAAGTATAGACCTACACTTTTTTTGGACTTTCCAAAGATAACATGAGTTGAATCTTCACAAATGTATAACATGAGTTAGAAGAAATTTTGTATGCACGGAAAATTTAATATGTTGTTGAATACCTTTTTCTAATGATATATCAAAAGAAGTCTATTTTGCCAAGTCTACTTATATTCCAGTTCTTCCCACAACTCTTTTATAATTGTATGATTTGAGATTCTAAATTGGATGTGAAGCATTTTAAAATAAGGCTCGATATTTATAAAAAAAAACCAGTTTGATAAATAGAGTACATTTGAATTGAGCAGGAGAATTCAATCTGCTGCAGAGTACGCAGTTTGAGCATTTCCACTTATGCGCCATCTTAAAATTAGCTTTAACGACAAATAAATATTTCTATCATTTTACAGAACAGGAAACAAATATATTAGTACAGTATACAAATGTTTCTGAATGACATTTTAAAGGATTTTGATTTAAATGCATTTCTTCAGATTTTCATTTTTTTAAACATTTATCTTGAAATAATGTTAGCATCACTTTAAGAAGGAGGTAGCCTATTGTGGTAATTGTGTCATAAGGCGAGACTGTTTTTATATCTTGTTTAATGAACTCGCTGCTCGCCAATAATGATAATTTCATTTAAAAATACAATTTTATTTCTGGCCAGTTAGCGCAACCACCGCCACGAAAAAATGGAAATTTCAGAAAAAAATAAAAGTTTTCTTTATTTTTATTACGCCCGTCGCTGCCTTGAAACCTTCAAAATAAGATATGTATATTTTCTTTCTAATTATATGAATTTAAAGCATTTAACCATTCCTTTACAACACTGTTTACATTCACCAATAAATTGTTTATTTTTATTTTCTCCTCCATGTGGATGTTTTTAGCAAAAACCATTTGCTAAACATGAAAACAAAATTTTAATTTAATTTTTTTCCGTCCTTATGAAAAAATTCTTGCCTAAAGTAGCCTGCACTGTAACTTGCTCAAAGTAAGAGGCTATTGGACGGTATGCTTATATAAGGCATGACCGGTTAATTGAAAATAGTTCTGTGACATAATACTGTTTGAAATTATTTTTCGCTCATATTTCAGCTTATGAAAGGAAATTGGAACAAACAAAATATAGTAACCTTGTTATGATCTGAGTAGGTGTGTAAAGTTTCATTGTAATCCGCCTTTTCGGTTTTAGAGCCATTAGTACGTGCCGTTTTCAGTTACAAGCATTACATATTATGACAACCATAAAGAGGGTATTATAAATAGCTGTACATACTAATATTTTAAGGTACCTGTACCTTACCATGAAGATATTCTAATTTGAGGTCATTGCAAAATGTCTCTTACCCGTCAATACCTGCACAATACTCAATATACGTGGGTGCGTGATGGTAATAATTGTTTATCAAACTTTAAAAGTCAAGAATTTAAAGTTCATGTTAATTGCAAAGGTAATTAGATGTTAAATCTTTCAACCAGGGCTGTAAAGAAAGGTAATGGATGGATTAGGAAAAGTTTTCTTTCCCTACTGTACACCGACACTTTTTGAAACCCAAACAATTTTGAAGGATTGAAGTACTCCATTGGTCCTATGTGGCTCTGCACAAGCAAAACAACTGTAAGCCCCACCCTTGGGTCTTGTTGCGAAGGTCCCAGAAAACAACAGCATAAACATGCGAATTTGAGCTTATTCCTGAGCATGTTCTGACTGAGTATTGCGTTCGATTGATACAGTACTTCAAAAAGATTCAAGTATCAGATCCCTCATTATCAACTAGGTAAACTACAGGAGAAGGCTTTGATGAAAAAAATTAAATACTTTATTGAATTTAAATAGAAGATGAAAGCCTTATTATGTAAGTGCCATGAAACATAACGAAACTACATATGATAAGCATAGGTACAGTAATATTTTAAGCATTAATATAATAAGATGTAAATTTTGTTTTTAATACGTAGCTCATTTCTATATTACTTGGAAAATATGATGTTTTTACTGACATCTAGAGAATTACATGAA